CTTCAACTTCTATGTTTGTTTTGGTAGGGAATTGAATCAATTGATACTTCGAACTTTTCGAGTGTCAAAAGTAAAAATGTACAATACTTCATTAATTAAAAAAAAAAAAAAACATTTTTACCAAACAGAGTTTTTAAAAAAATATTTAAATATATTTATTATTATTTAATACTAAAAATTACAATTCGAGCGTTCAAATTAAACTCGTCTAAAACGCAAACATTTCAAAATTATTTTGATTTCGAATTCGCTAAATTTTGGTGTTTATTAAAATATTTAGGCTTGGTCAAAATACTTTAAAATTGAATGCATTAAAATTTTTAGTACTTTAATTAAAGCATACACTTGTTTAATATAAGACACCACTTATGGTTGATCTTTTAGAAATTTAAAAATATTAAAAATGCCTAAACACGATTTTGTTTTATATGCATTTTTGAAGTCAAATCAATTCAAATTTAGAAAAAATTCGTTGAATTCAATTTTAAATTTGCAAAGCAGCATAGGCTTGATATATTAATACAAGGTCAATTATGATTTATAGTTCTTGCTGAAATATATTAATCTAAAAATATATGAGCACATTTTTTTGTGTATGAATTTAAACATTATATGTTATTTAATAATTAAACGAAGAATAATTRTTGTAGTTATCTTGTTATAATTCAAAAATAGTATTTAGTAAATTGTATAAGTATTCTTTTATATTAATACTTCTGCCTGTTTATATATATATATAAACGCCTGTAATAATGCCCCTTACTGGTTGACCATTTGAATACAGCACATATTTTTGGTTTGGCAAACTGTTTTTTAACATCAATGTTTTTGAAATTTGACTTGATTAACATATAATTTGATAATATAAAAATAGTATTTACCTAACATATACATTTTTTTTTATGTACAACTTTTATTAGATTATACACAATCTGTTAATGTTTTTACAATAAACATATGTGCAAAAAAATATAGGTATATATAAAAGACATGGAGACATGAAGAGAGGAGTCACCCTGCAGGAACACTAAGAACCTAACATATATGAACATTTTTTAACAGAGATAATTAAATATTTTTTAACTTAAAATATATCTTTATGTATGACATTGTATGTTATTTAAAAATGATTAAACAATTTTYGTTAGATTATTGAATTACTATAAAAATAATTAATTTGGTGCTAAAACTTGTAATTTTATAAGTATTTATAGCTGTAGACTGTAGTATATCTATAGCTAAATTATAAGCAATATATAACATAACCCTTAGTCGTTCAGT